ATGACCATTGGTCAGTTAGTTATTCAAGTTTAGGCCTTTTCGGTTTTAGGCCTTTTGGGTGAGTCCCCTAAAGCATACTTCCAGGCACTTATTATTCACTCATTAAATGTATTATTTGTGATGAAATTGTAAGCTGTCGGTACGTTTTTTGCGGCCAGAAATGGACACCAAATAACCGGATTTTGCCGATAAATTGTACTTGTATGTTATCAGGGATATGAACTCTATAACTAGGGTTCCCAAATCTCAAGGTTTAAGCAGGACTTTCAAGGAATCGGTCATATGCTCAAGGAAATATTTTCAAAAAATATGAGCGTTTTAATGGACCAAGGAAATTTATGATCAATTTTTAAAAAATCAAGTAACTTAATTATATGTTTTTGATAAAAATGGCTCCTGTATGGGAGGGGAACGGGAGGTCGTCTTCTCAATGGTCACCTCTTTGCGCAATACTTCCACATATTTCTTGCCCACAAATATCAGGGAAATGCCGAAAGGGAACGGCGCTATGATTAGGGACTCCCCGAACTCGTCATCATTGGCGGGCATACTGTCCACTCGGAAGCGTTTGAAAGCGTAGGCCAACACCAGGAACGGTATGACCAGAGTGTTGATGAGCACCTGGATCTGCGTCGACGATTTGGACCGGAACCACAGCCGAACAGCCCACGTAACCGGCGATGAGGGCGTGTATTGTGGATACGATGCCCAACACATACGCCGATAGCTTCTGGTGGTGACTGACCTCAGGGTGTGTCGGCTTATCCCTAAACACCTGATTGAACGGCATTTGCTTCACACAAAGACCGCTAAACACATGTATATTAGGTTTAAATTGAGATCAATTATACGAAAATTGGTGTCTTTTTTCATTTTCATTATGTCATAGGAATGAGTGATTTTAGAGATAATTTCATTATGAATACAAACTTTAGGAATATTGGAGTTTAATTCAAAACCTAATCTAATCTCTTATCTAATAAATTGAGGCATTTTTGTCAACTATTTTTGTGTGATGTTTAAGTTGTATTTTAAAAATAATACTTGTTAATTAAACTTTATATTTATTTATAAAACTTTGACACCTATTATTACTTGTGTTTTAAAACTTGCCTAGATTATGATTAATGCGATAATGCAATATAATGTTCAATAATTATGAAGTGTAATCAGCTTTACGTTCATGAGTTTTGTATTGTAATATTCTGGGCATGTTATATATCAAACAAAACCCTAAATATTCTTCTATAATAATCAATTAAAAACAATACACGGTGTTCAAATAAACGACAATCAAAGTGGCATCGTTAATAAAAGGCTACCCTGTACTTGTGCTTTAATATTTGCCTAGATTATGATTAGTGCGATAATGCAATATAATGTTCAATAATTAGGAGTGTAATCACTTTTACGTTCACGAGTTTGTATTGTAAACGGAAATAACTTATACACAAAAAAAGATTTCACTTGAATAGTAAAAGGTAGTCATCAAGCACATTGACAAAGTGAATATAATTACATTTACGTAATATTATTGTTATATTAAATCCTAATTTGGTTAAAAAGTATAATGCACAAATAATTCAAATGGGGTAAATATAAAAATTTTATTTATTAATAATTAAATCAATTGATTTCAAAATAATAACAAATAATTATAATTAAACTCATTTAGGAATTTAAGTGAATATTCTCTAATTTCTGTTCAATTACTTCATATTTTGCATTAAAATATTCCGCAAAAAACTTGTAATCATTTTGTTTAATAAGTTTTAGTGTGGAATCAAATGTGGAATCAGTTTTGAGACAATTCTTATCGATAGACCACTCATTATATTTGTGTAAGACTTGTGAGCACTCGGGTCTGTCTGTCCAGTGAGGGCCGGGTATGTGCGGGTGATCCCAGTTATAGTATGACATTGAATGCAATACATCTGTTAATTCAATCACACATTTGTTCATAACTTCATTGTCTGAATACTTTTGTAAACTACAGAATATATTCAAATAAATATAAAAAACTCAATTAATTATTAAATAATTTAAATATTAATTCATATTATCTCACTGTGAATCCTGTTTGTCCTCCAAATGAATCCCAAAAATATTTTCTGCAATTTTAGCCAAACTATAGATATCTATCTTATGATTATAGTCCACTCCCTGACCCACTTCTGGGGCACAATATCTCGGGTCTCCCTTATCTGACGAGTGCTGGTGAACAGTAGCCAAACCAAAGTCGGCCACTTTTAAATACCTGCCATTCCTTACAGTCTTCGCCACTAATATATTGTCGGGTTTGAGGTCTCTATGAATGACCGGAGGATTCAATGCATGTAAATATTGAACGCATTCTAAGATCTCTTTTAATATTTTTGGGATTCATTTGGAGGACAAACAGGATTCACAGTGAGATAATATGAATTAATATTTAAATTATTTAATAATTAATTGAGTTTTTTATATTTATTTGAATATATGACACGAAATGTAAAACTCGATTGAATTCATGAGTTCTTCCGGTTGTCGACCAAATACTTGTGGTTTATGTTGAAGAATATTTTGCAGACTATGGGAACACAACTCCATTTCAATGTAATACACATTGTTTTCAAACATTTGTCTGATATATTGGACACAATAGTCTGACCTAACTTTTATCAAATTTTGCATTTCTCGCATACATTCCCGTAATTCGTCATCACCTGTAAATGTATTAATTTTGATAATTCTAAATAATTCTAAATTTGACAAAACATGTGACAAAATTTGATGATCTACGAATACAGTATAATACAATTTAATGTGGTTATACAAAATATATCTAAATGCCATTAAATTACCTTGGTATTTTATTTTCTTAACCGCATATTCTCGTCCATCATATTTATATTTAACAACAAATACTTCCCCAAAAGATCCCGAACCTAATCGATACAACTCTTCGTACAAACGGTTGTATTCATTCACTTCGGAAACAACTATAAAACGAATTAAATTCATTCATTCATTCATTTATCTTAAAAAGTCATCCAAAAGTAGTACTGAAAGGGGACGGGGATGTGTTGTAGGTTTACTAAAGAGTAATTAAATTATAGGTATATTATTTATTTTTGCATAAATATAATAAAAATAATTTGTTTAGAAATTTGCTTAATTGCTGACAATTTCTTTAGATTTAAATTCTAACTGCAATTAGCGTTCGAAAAGAGAATATTGTTATTATAAGTATATTATTTATTTTTGCATAAATATAATTAAAATAATTTGTTTAGAAATTTGCTTAATTGCTGACAATTTCTTTAGATTTAAATTCTAACTGCAATTAGCGTTCGAAAAGAGAATATTGTAAAATGTACAAGTTAACTTTATTAATTTCATAACTAATTACAATGAGATTTGCATATTTTTGTTCAAGTAATTGTGTTAATCGTGAATGTTAATGACTGGCTGATTGTACGTACTTTGTGAATGACCCATACAACCAATTCATACCACTGTTTGTTAAGTCTTTTATAGAAGAAAATACTTTTTCCAAATAATCCAAACATTTTGCAATAAATTCTTCGCAATTCTTATAATTATATTCCTTATAATCACAAAAATCTATGGTTTTATGAGTTATTTGATAATCATTTGTAGAACAGTCGAAGATATTTGTATAATTTGTTTCAATTATATTATCGTTTCGTTCATTAAAAATAAGATATATTTTGCCATTCATTATAGCAATAAACCGACACAAATTATGTTTATATGATATAATTGTATTCATATCTGTAAACCTCTTATCAGTTTTTAATACTTTTGGTGATATTTGTATCAAATAGTCGTTGTTTTCATTCCAATATCGACCGCAAAAATGAATGAATCCATCGTTTGATAAGAAGTAAGTGATGCCGCCATTGGAACAGATAGTCTTAATACCAGTCATGTCTGCAATGAGTTGTGGTTCCCATATATTATCCGATGAATTGTGTCCCAAATTATGCCAATCATTTCGACCCCAACTATACACCTGTCCCTCCGATGTTATGGTAAATGAACAATAAGAACGACAACAAATGCTTTTAATTTCGTGATTTGGATTGAAATTCACTAGAAATGTAGCCCGTATTAGTTTATCATCTGGTCCACAACCTAATTGTCCGTATCTATTATCACCCCATCCATAGACACAGCCATCACTCGTGAGAATCATTGTGTGATAATAACCACAACTTATTTGATAGATTGACTTATTTTCCATGTTTTCGAGATTAATAAGTTCTGGTTTTATAAATGGGAAATCCATATCCGGGAGTTCCAAACTTAACTGTCCAAAATCATTAAGACCCCAACCATAGAGACAGTTGTGTTGAGTGAGGGCTAATACAAAGTCCGCTCCATTGAAGAATTGTGTGATATTCTTGTGGCGCAATCTCTCAATCTCTTGGACTTCACGGACATAGCGGTTGTGTCCCAAACCAAGAGATCCCCTAATCGATTCAATTGTTTCATGTTTTCGACGATAAGAGAGGATATAATGTATTGTTTGTAACAAATGATGACATGGTTTACGGTTTGGGATCTAATTATTGGGGATCACTTGGTTTGGGACACAATGATGTCGTCAATTCATCACAAATTATAGGGGAATTGTGTCACAAGAATATCACACAATTCTTCAATGGAAACGACTTTGTGTTAGCACTCACTCAACATAATTGTATCTATGGTTGGAGTCGTAAAGGAAAGGGACAGTTAGGAATCGCACCCAAGAATACAGATGCTTTATACTTAGAACCTGGACTTTTTGATCCGAAATATATCGATAATAAGACTATTAACCAAATAAGTTGTGGTTATTTACACACAATGATTCTCACGAGTGATGGCTGTGTCTATGGATGGGGTTATAATATGTTCGGACAGTTAGGTTGTGGACCAGACAGTGATATACGAAAAGGGGACACATTTCGAGTAAATTTCAATCCTAATCACGAAATTAAAGGCATTTATTGTTGTAATTACTCTTCATTTGCCATCACATCTGAGGGACAGGTGTTTAGTTGGGGTCGAAATGATTTCTATGATTTAGGACACAATTCATCGGATAATATATGGGAACCACAACTCATTGAAGCGATGACTGGTATTGTGACTATCTGTTCCGGTGGTCGCATTACATACTTCTTATCAAACGATGGATTCATTCATTTTTGCGGTGAATATAGGAATGAAAACAACGAACGTTTGTTACAAATATCACCAAAAGTATTAAATACTGATAAGAGGTTTACAGAAATGAATACAATTTTCTCACATAAGGATAACCTGTATCTGTTTAGTGCTATAATGAATGGCAAAATATATTGTATTTATAATAAACTAAACGAAAATATAATTGAAACAAATTATACAAAATTCTTCGACTGTTTCACAAATGAGTTTCAAATGACTTATAAAACCATTGATTTGTGTGATTATAAGGAATATAATGATAATAATTGCGAAGAATTTATTGCAAAATGTGTGGAATATTTGGAAAAAGTATTTTCTTCTATAAAGGAATTATCAAACAATGGTATGAATTGGTTGTATGGGTCATTCACAAAGTACGTAAAGTCAGCCAGTCATTAACATTCACGATTAACACATTTACTTGAACAAAAATATGCAAATCTCATTGAAATNCACGATTAACACATTTACTTGAACAAAAATATGCAAATCTCATTGAAATTAGTTACGAAATTAATAAAGTTAACTTGTACATTTTACAATATTCTCTTTTCGAACGCTAATTTCAGTTAGAATTTAAATCTAAAGAAATTGTCAGCAATTCAGCAAATTTCTAAACAAATTATTTTAATTATATTTATGCAAAAATAAATAATATACCTATAATTTAATTACTCTTTAGTAAGCCTACAAAACATCCCCGTCCCCTTTGAGTATTACTTTTGGATGACTTTTAAGAAAAATGAATGAATGAATTTAATTTGTTTTATAGTTGTTTCCGAAGCGAATGAATACAACCGTTTGTTCGAAGAGTTGTATCGATTAGGTTCGGGAGCTTTTGGGGAAGTATTTGTTGTTAAACGTAAATATTATGGACAAGAATATGCGGTTAAGAAAATAAAATACCAAGGTAATTTAATGGCATTTAGATATATTTTGTATAACCACATTAAATTGCATTATACTGTATACGGAGATCATCAAATTTTGTCATGTTTTGTTAAATTTAGATTTATTTATAATTATCAAAATTAATACACTTACAGATGCTGACCAATTACGGGAATGTATGCGAGAAATGCAAAATTTGATAAAAGTTAGGTCAGAATATTGTGTCCAATATATAAGTCAATGGAATGAAAACGATGTGTATTACATTCAAATGGAGTTGTGTTCCCATAGTCTGCAGAACATTCTTCAACACAAACCACAAGTATTTGGTCGACAACCGGAAGAACCCATGAATTCAATCGAGTTTTACATTTCGTGTCATATATTCAAAGAGATCTTAGAATGCGTTCAANCATATATTCAAAGAGATCTTAGAATGCGTTAATATTTACATGAATTGAATCCTCCGGTCATTCATAGAGATCTCAAACCTGACAATATAATAGTGGCAAAGACTGTAAGGAACGGAAGATTTTTCAAAATTTGTGACTTTGGTTTGGCGACTGTTCACCAGCACTCGTCAGATAAGGGGGACACGACATATCAGGCGCCAGAAGTCTGTCGACGAGTGGTCTATACCCATAAGATAGATGTCTACAGTTTGGCTATAATTGCAGAACAAGATATTTTTGGGATTCATTTAGTGGAAGAACCGTAAGATAATGTAAATTAATATTTAAATTATTTAACAATTAATTGAGTTTTTAAATTTATTTGAATATATTCTGTAGTTTACAAAAGTATTCAGACAATGAAGTTATGAACAAATGTGTGATTGAATTAACAGATGTATTGCATTCAATGTCATACT